GTGTGTGTGTGTGTGTGTGCGTGTGTGTGTGTGTGTAATTCTGTTATGTAACGTTGCGCTATCCTAAAGCTATGAGTCCACTCATCTAACACAGTGCATGTGTGTCAACCTCTACCTCACACACGCGCGCACGCGCGCACGCGCGCACACGCGCATACACGGAAACTGCTTACTCCTGCAATTTGATCGACGAGTGAGAAAATACGGCTTCATAACTCGAAATGAATTTGACTATTAGCTCTCTAGCGGGAAAATTGAAAACTGATACACGGTTGCACCGATATTTTACGGTAATTCTGATACGTAATTTACAGAAAATGTGCCCGCCGTGTGAGCTTTAATCATTATCGTTTCGTTGACGTTTCTGAAAGAATAAATACGAGGTTTGTTTTCATAATCCATGAATATAAACGGTTGAAATTATACACTAAAGCAACTCAAGTGTAGGTGTTTGGTACGAGATAACACATGAGAAAGGTTGATTTGATAATTTGCTGCCACCAGGAGTATCCAATTGATATATTGTGTCGTCGTGGAAATAGTAACATGCTCTGAAGCGAAAATGGTGAAGAAACATCAATTAGGGAATTCTGCTCACGAATTATTTTCGTATCATTCTGAATTACACTTTGTGTTCGTAACGCCACGCTGGAAACTCCGGGGGCGTGTCCGATCGAATTTCGCTGTTTGGTGTTGATATGATTTTTTTGCCATAGAATCGAGAAATAATCCCAAAAGGGGTTATCCAAGTGTAATTGGTGGCATAATAGGCCTATTATCTAACACGCAGCTATTACTTTAGAATTTTTTTTCTTCAAATTATTCAGAGATAATTACTTTAATGCGTGGGAATGAACACATGATTGCTCATGCGGGAGGTGTGTGAGCGGGCGTGCTGTTCCTGCGTGCCTGCGTGCCTGCGTGCCTGCGTGCGCGTTCCCATGTGAATTTTGCTACCAAGTCGCTTTGTGTTCAAGATTATATATTTTAAGTACTAGTTAACCGCCTCTGACGCCTCTCGATTACGGTCTCTCGATCTTTTCCTTCTCCCTGCCCACTCCTCGCTCTGTCGCTGACGCCCCTTCTTCATCTTTTGCTCATAACGCTTTTTTTTTTTTTTACTATAGCTAACCCACCATCTCTCATTCAGTTCCGGTTTCAAAATATGGACACCGTACGAGAATTGGTAAATTATCCGATTCGCGATGTTTCGTCAAAATTATCTATAGTTGCTCACCACAATATTCGACAGGTGTTGTCAAATATTCTCGACAGAAGCCTGCGATGGCGAACTGGTGCAAAAAACCTGGAACGGAAGAAACAAGGAAGAGTATGAATTAATTACTGCACTAAAATGATACAAATGACAGGGGGAAATTACGTATCTACAGCGGGATACCGCCATGTATGGACAACGCAATCTGGAAGTGGGTTAGGGTTAGGGTGACTATATCGCTGACTTTGCCGCTATATATGGGCGCAAAACAACAATTCTATGGGCAAACTATTTTCATTCAAAGTCACTTAAACTAATTAAAAGATGCCTTTGCAATTTCCGTGTTCATTCTTCTAGAGCGTAGATACCATGAACAATAATTACGTCATTACATACGGATGGAAGCTCTGATAATTCGTGCACCTATACGCCTGCTCACAGCTACACAAATACATGAACGTTATTAGACACAGGTTTACGTAGGTTAGTACTAATAATAATTATAGTAATATACTGCGTGTGTGCGTGTGTGTGTGTGTGCGTGCGTGCGTGCGTGCGTGCGTAGCGGTAGCGGCTGGGTAGTGTGTGCTGTGTGTGTGTGGTGTGTGTGTGTGTGTTGTGGTGTATCGTAGGTGTGTATGTGTGTATATGTGTGTATATATGTGTGTGTATGTATATGTGTGCGTGAGTGTGTACGCCAACATAACATGTACATGGGTTATATAACGGATTGAATATACTTGAATATATACAGTATGAGATTTATATTGGAGATAAATAAGAGTGATGGTAACGTGCCATATCAATCGTAGAAGTATACAACGAGCGTGCGATATATTCCGTGAGAGGCAGCTATCGAGCCGTGCGGTACCTACCCGATGTAAACGAATGCTCTGTTGTTCTCTGACGTCACGGTCCGACGACGCAGGCGAGCTGCCGTTCACC